GGAAAAAGCTAAGAAGCAACCTTATATGCACCAAATAAGTCCTCAAAGTCTTAAGAGGTCTCAATATCTTCTGCTGGGGAAGGAAGTGAAAACAGAGTTGATTGAACATCAATTTATAAAGCACTGAAGACATGCACTTAAGGCTCTTTCCTTCCAGTACAAGAAACCTGTCTCTCTCCCACTATAGCAGAAGATTGAAGGTTTATTCTCTGGAGAGAGTACGACTTAGGGACAATGGGTACAGATGAGATCAGAGGCTCTATATAAGAAGGGCATCATGTGAATGATGAAACTCACACTCTTTTCCCCACTAAAACTGGTAACCAAGCTTAAATCCTTCAGGGAGAAGATTATTTCTGGGGAATTCGATCAGCACAACAGTGGGGAAACTACTGAGTAAGTGTGGGGGAAGACTAAAGACATTTTCAGATATCCAAGTTCTCTAAAATTTCCGTCTTATGAACCCTCTCAGGAAGCTGCTGAAGTATGTGCTCTGCCCAAAGAAAGAAGTAAACCAGGAAATAAGAGGATATACAATCCACTAAGCCTGAGATCTCTCTCTTTTCCTCTTCCAGCTTAATAGAGTGCATATTCTCTTCAATCTTGGTTTACTCCCTTGAGGAGAGATCATATAATATAGTGGTTAAGAATGGATGCCTGAGGCAACAAAAACAAAAATAAACCAGTGGGACTACGTCAAACTAAAAAGTCTTATGCACGGCAAAGGAAACCATCAATAAAATAAAATGGCAACCTACCAAATAGGAGAAAATATTTGCAAATCATATATCTAACAAGAGTAACTATCTGAAATACATAAATCACTCATACAATTCAGTAGCAAAACCCCCCAAAAATCCAATTTTAAAAGGGGCATAAGATCTGAATAGACATTTATCCAAAGAAGACATACAGATGGCCAACAGGCATGTGAAATGGAACTCAACATCACTAACCACTCGGGAAATCCAAATCAAAACCACAAAAACACCTCACACCTGTTAGAATGGTTATTACAAAAAAGACAAGAAATAAGTATTGGCCAGCATATAGAGAAAAGGGAACCCTTGTGCACTCTTGGTGGAAATGTAAATTGGTAAGCCATTATGGAAAACAGTATGAAGGTTCCTAAAAAATTAACAATAGAACTATCATATGATCTAGCAATTCTACTTCTGGGTTTTATCTGAAGAAAATGAAAATACTAACTCAAAGAGATATATGCACCCTCATGTTCACTGTAGCATTATTTATAATAGCCAAGATATGAAAACAACCTAAGCATCCATCAATGGATGAATGGATAAAGAAGTTGCGAGATACACACACACACACACACACACACAAACACAAACACACAGTGGAATATTATTCAGCCACAAAAAATAATGAAATCTTGCCATTTGCAATAACATGGATGGAACTTGAGGGTGTTATAGTAAGTGATAAGTCAGACAGAGAAAGACAAATACCATATGATCATATGATCTCACTTATGTGTGGAATTAAAAAAAAAAAAAGCCAAACTCATAGATACAGAGAACAGATTGGTGGTTGCCAGAGGCAGGGGGTGAGCAAAATGGGTGGAGGGTGTCAAAAGGTACAAACTTCCAGTTATAAAATAAATAAGTCATGGGGGTGTAATGTACAGCATTGTGAGTATAGTTAATAATACTGTATTGTATATTTGAAAGTTGCTAAAAGAGACGATCTTAAAAGTTCTCATCACAAGAAAAAGAATTTTTAACTATGTGTGGTGACAGATGTTAACCAGACTTATTGAGGTGATCATTTTGCAAATATTGAATCACTATGTTGTACACCTGAAACTAATGTTACATGTCGGTTGTGCCTGAATAAAAACAAGTAAATAAAATAAAATATTTTCCTAAAAAAATAAGAAGAGAAAAGGAACACAGATGCCTGGATCCTAATACAAGTTCTTATTGGCTCTCTCCCTAAATTTCCTCACCTATAAATTGGGGATAACAGTATCAACTTCAAAGGGTTACTGTACAGATTAAAACCACTTGGAGGAGAACCTGGCCCATAGTAAATGTGTTAAATATATTGAAAGGAGATTCATAGTTCTGAGGAAGAATTGAGGATTTTTTTTAATGATAGCACATGATAACTAAAGAAGCAAAGAAGACACTTACTCAAATAAGAGAAAGATAAAAATTGTGGTATGGTACATGACTCAAATGTGAACAGCATTTAAGTAGTCATAGTAATGTAAAAGTGATTACTACTCTAACTGAAAATTTTAAATAAATATATTAAAAAGAGGGAGAGGTTCAGAAAATGTGATAAAAAGCAAATCTTCATCTTCCACAGCAGGCAGACAACTGATAATGCCTACAGCTGAAAAATTAAATTTAAAACAGGCCATTGCAGTAATTAAGGGGTGGGGGAAAGTTGTATTTAGGGTGGCAGTGATGGCAGAGATTAAGAAAAGTAAAAGAATTCAAGGGATATTTGAGCAATAAAGTCAAGAGATATTTAGAAGATAAAAATCAAGAAGTCTTGCTAATGGACTGAAATGGGAAGCTGAAGGGAAGGAGAGCATCAAAAGTTACTCCTAGAGTTTTGGCCTTTATTACAGTCTGGATGATGTTGCCATTAATTGAGATAGAGGACACTAGAAGAGAGCAAGTTTGGGGGTGGGAGAAGGGATGGAGATCATGAGCTGTTTTTGGACACCTGGATTTAAAGATACTCCATTCCACCCAAATGGAGTTTTTCAAGAAAACAGTGGAAATACTGATTCAGAGCTCAGAAAAATTATTTGGCCTGGATATACATATATATGTGAGTCATCTACAAAAAGTGGTCATTGAAGTCATGGACATGACTTTCCCTAGGAGGAAAACCAAAGAATGAGAAGAGTCAAAAGTCTAGGAGTGAGCCCTCAGGGATTCCACATTTAATAGCCAAGTAAAGGAGTCTGGGCCTACAAAGGGCTGAGAGCAGGAATAACCAGAAAGTTTATTCTAGGAATAACCTGGAGGAAAACCAGGAGAGTGTTCCATCATGGAAGCCAAGTTCAGTTTGGAACATAATGAATACAATGCAGCAGTTGTTTATATCTAGTTGTTTTTATCTAAGAATCTGGAGATTGGGAAAGCGTGCAAGACTCACCACAACAAAG